GTGGAAAAAAGGCTACGACAAAAGCTAATAGAAACTTTACAGATTTAATAGCCAGTGAGGAAAGAACATAAGCTTACCAGACTTCATATCCACCCGTTCAACTCTCCCGTATCGTTTGAAAAGCCGTTCCAGCTCAGTCTGTCTTGCATCATACTCAAAGTTCCCACAAAAGATAGGCCTCATTCTCACTAGCCACGGACATTTCACATAAATGAGATAATAAACAATATATTATAACTCTTAACATCATTAATTTCTAATGGGTTCCTTGCAAAACATTGAAAAAGTCAAGTTTTATTCCCAAAAACTACAACATTTAAGTGTTTATTTCATTGTTTTGAAGGATAACCATGCCTTGAACCAACTAAGAAATTATGGGTCTCCATTTTCAAGTATGAAGTCTTGATTTTTTGTGGAAATCACACATTTTCAACGAGTTTCGAAGGCTGTTTCAGACTTAACTAGGATTCTTCAACAAACCATAAGAAAAGGTACCAAAATTTATGATAATCAACAATCAACAAGAAAATAGATAACAAATCATAATCAGATCCACAAGATCAAATCCTAAATAACAGATCTACAATAATGACAACCAGATCTACCGCGTGCAGAAAAAAGAACAAATTTTAAGCCAAGTTTCCAAGAAACCAAGAAAAAAAAAACATTTTCTCGCGCTTTCTGGCTAAACAACGGTAAATAATTGATTGATTTGATTTTTATTACCTGTTGAAACCGGCGATTTTGTCGAAATGAAGCTTTGATTGAAACCCTAGTTTGTAAGAGTCAACAAAACAACAGCGTTTTCGTCTGTTAAAGAGATATTTTTTCTTTCATAACGAAGAAAGCTTGCGAGTGTGATAAATAGGCGGAGAAAGATATAATGAGTTTGATTTTTAGCAAAAAGGTCCTTAGTTCTTTTGTTAATTGAAATGTAGGTCCTAGAAGTTTTGACAAATCTAAGAAAATGTACAATCCCTCACGTGCAAAATTAGGATACAATATATTTTGATCCCGTATTAGATGTTTCTTTCTTTTCTTTTTTCTTTTCTTTTTTTGTTTTAAACATGAAACTCTTTCCTTCTTTTCTTTTAAACTCAATCGGAAATTGATCCAAGAAAGTAAATGGGTCATTAAATTATCAAGATTACTTGAGAGTTATTGGTCAATTATTTTATTAAAATTTTGTTGTTTTATTCTTTAAAATAATTTTTTATTGAAATTATTGGTTTTTATCAAGTCAACTAAATTACTAAGAATCTAAATGAGTTAATCAAGTTTTATTGAATCAATATCCAATTTATTTTAATTAAAAAATAACTCAAATTAAATTTTAAAATTTTAGTTTTCTTAGTTAACATGTTAAATTAAATTGATTTTAGTTATTATAACTATAAATATATCTCGATCATTTATCTATAATTAATTTTTATCATTTTTTAAAAGCTAGATTTAATATTTATTTATGTATTCAAAAGATATGTGAATGGTTCACAGTGTTTTTCTTTCGTCCCTTTTTTTTTAGTTTTTATTAAATTAAATTTTATGTTAATTTAAACTAATTTATTAAAGGATGGTGAAGTTAAAGAAAGGGAATTAAAATGGAGGAAAAAAAGAACGAAATTGATGGCTTATTTAAACTTTGAGGTGAAATATATATTTTGCCTCAAGAAAAATCAAGAAAAAAAGTGTTGTTAAGGGTAATTTAGTAATTTTATAATGATTCATTTTTCATTCTAAAATTTAAAGGGGTATTTATGTCTTTTTATTTTTAATAATGATCCTTATAATCCCATATTTATAGTTTTTTAAGCTTACATTCAAGGGTATTTTTTTTTATGAGTAATCAAATGACTTGCATGCCATTAGAAATGGGTTTTTTATAACTTATATTTAGGGTTTTTTTATATTTTCACTTAAGCTTTTTTGTGTACTTTAATAGCTTACATTGAAGTTGGTTTAAGGGTAATTATATAATTTAACATATACAAATATTATTAAAAAAATATTTATTGATATACACATTACTCGTATTAGTAAGTGAACAAGTCTCATACTCTTCAGATGTGCATGCAGGGTTATTGAGTGGCTAAACGTCACTTTTCACGATAATGTTTGAATCATCTTGGCATCGCCTCAATATAGAGGTAAAATGTATGGCTAGAGATCATTTGTTTTGAAGTTAGTGACTTTTTTTTTCCTTATTGATTTTCATATTTATCCCTTTAAAATCTCAAAGCCTTTCAATTTTTATTCCCTTCAAAAAAAATTTCCCTAATTATAATTTATTTTATTTAAAATAATTTATAAAATTTAAATTATTTTTCAATTTCACCCTTTTATTTTTTCATCTTTTAAATTTGATTCTTGTTCTTTTTATTACTATTTATTTTATTTAAGATCATTTTTAAAAATGATATTTTTTACAATTGCACCGTCATTTGTTTTTTTTCTTGTCAAATTTGATCCTTATTCTTTTTATTGTTATTTTTTTCACTTTGGTAATTTTTAATTTTTTTTGTTTCATCTTTCAACATTAAATTAATTTAAATTTGAGCTTCTTAATAAAGTCCAAATCTAAGATTTCATGAATTGTGAGTTGTAAAAATTAACTAAGGTTTAAAAGATTCACTTGGCTCATCATGGTTTATTTAAATTAATTTTATTTTTTAGTTGTTTTATTCAATTCACTTTCATTAATGAATTTTTTAATTTTTTATTGGCATGAATAATTATTTAATTAAATAAAAAATTTATTCTAAGAAACAAATATATTAAATATGACTCAGTATATGACCCGAATTGAGAGGTTAAAAATCTTAATTTTGATTATCTCATGATCAAATAACAATATAATTAATTAGATATGCATCTAAACATTTCAATTTAATATTGAAATATTTTTATATCTAAAAATAAGTTATATCCAAAAATAAGTTAGAAAAGCTTGTATATTTATTTATTTATTTACTAAATAAAAAATAATTATCTTACCTATGAAGGAAAGCAAGTTAAATAAACAGTCTAGTTCTGCATAATGATGACTTGAAAAAAAAGAAGGAAAGTTAGTGATCATTTGGGGTGGTGTTTTAATAAGAGTATCGGCAAAATTTGATTTTTTATTTAAATTAATTATGTCTTTAGTTTTTGTATTGTTTTAATGTGTTAATAATAATAAAAAAATATTATCTTAATATGTTTTCAATTAAAAAATATTTTAGAAAGTAATTTTGACAAAAATCTCACCTCCGTGTCCATTTTTCTTGAACGGGGTTGTAAATTTTAGATATTCATGGCTTCAAGCAAATATGAGAGTTCAAATCCAAAAGGCCAACAATTCCCTCCTTTTCTTTTATGCTTTTCAAAAACATATTATGAATTTATATTTGTATGGCTTATAACTATTCATAATAGCATTAGCATTTAATTACTGTTTTAAAATAAAAACAATATAAATATAAATATACTTGATTAAAAATACAAGAACATAAAATAAATATATATTAGAAACAATTTTAAGATGATTTTATGTAATTTTAAACTATACAAACTTTCAAGATTTTCAAAATATTTGATTGGTAATGTGAGATTTGCTTTTTTTCACTTTGATAATTTTTAAAATCATTATTTTTTGTTTTATCCTTTAATATTAAATTAATTTAAAATTAAGCTTCTTAATGAAGTTCCAATATAAGATTTTATAAATTGTGAATTTTAGAAATTAACTCATGTTTAAAAGGTTCGCTCGAGTCATCTTGGTTTTTTTAAATTGATTTTATTTTTTAATTTTATTAATTAACATTGAGTTGTTTTTTAATTGAATTTTATAGTTTTATTCAATTTACTTTCATTAATGATTTTTTTAATCTTTTATTAGCATGAATAATTATTAAATTAAATAAAACATTTATTCTAAAAAACAAATTTATTAAACATGTCTCACCATATGACCTGAGTTGAGAGATTAAAATCTTAATCTTAATTATTTTTTGATAAAATATCAATTTAGTTAATTAGATATGCATCTAAACATTTCAATTTAAAATTGATTTTTTTTTATATCCTAAACTAAGCTGGAAAAGATTGTATATTTATTTATTTTTTACTAAACAAAAAATAATTATATAACTCATGAAAAAATACACGAATAATAACTAATTTAATTTTATACATTGATAGTTTCCTTCAAGAACATAAGGAAAGTTAGTGGTTGTGTTTTCATAAGAGTTTCAACAAATTTTAATTTATTTTATTTAAACTAATTACATCTTTAGTTTTTGCATTATTTTAATATAACAATGTAAAAAAATTATTTTAATTAAAAATTATTTTAAAAAATAATTTTAACAAGAGCCTCGACTATCGGTGTCCACCTTTAACAATGGGCTAGTAAATTTTAGATATTCATGGCATGAAGCAAACGTTAGAGTTCAAATCCAAAAGGCCAACAATTCCCTCTTTTTTTTTTTTGCTTTTCATAAACATATTCTGAATTTATAGTTGTATGGCTTATATAACTAATCATAATAGCATTAGCATTTTATTACTGTTTTTAAATAAAAAAACAATATAAATATAAATATATTTGGTTAAAAATACAAGAATATAAAATAAATATATATCAGAAACAATTTTAAGATGATTTTATGTAATTTTAAACTATACAAACTTTCAAGATTTTCAAATATTTGATTGATAATGTGAGATTTGCTCTCCACCGTTTTCCTTTTTTTCCAGCATGGATGAGTTGTGTTATAATAGCCTCTTTTTTCTTACATGCGAGGTTTCATTTTTCATGTTTTTTTTAAGGATCAAAATCAAGTTGCTCTAACCCATCAGTTAAGGCCCAGCCCATTTAGTTTTGGGTTTAATTCTACTGATAACATGGTTTCCGAGTCATCCATGCTGTCCTAGCTTGCACCATGAAGAGAGGGAATTGCTTGAAAGAGATAAGGAATTCATGATTGGCTAGTGTTATTGAATATTATAGAGCAACAAGTTTACACAAAGTGAGAAGAAATATTAGTGGAATGGTTAAAATGGCCAGCTGCATTGTCTTGTTCCAGCAAGAAATTATTGAAGCTGGCTTCTTCTTCATTTTCTTGAATTTGAGCAGGTTCTTGTGCTAGAGAATCGAGAACTGCGATTTCAGCTCTTGTTTTGGCTAGTTGGCTTTCTACACTGTGAATTTGTTGGTGTAGCAAAGAGATAATCCCAACACAGCCATAGACAGGGTCTTGAGTTCTGCACCGTGCCTCATAATACAAAGAGTTTGCTGCTTCAGCTCTTAAATGTGCTGGGAGTTGCTACAATAACCAAAAGGAAAGTATAAGATATTAAACTCTGAAATTGTTTTGGAAGAGTGAATGCCTTTTAATATAATTAAAACCAATTAATTAAGTCAAATTTCTCATACAACGCCTCCCTTGAAGTCACCATACTCTCTTGAAAAAAGTTATCTAGCCTGATGGGGGAATTAGTCCTATTTCGAGAGAATTTACAGGTATGTAATCAACAATACTGTTCTTCAAAAGACTAATGCTATTTTTTTAGAAATAAGTTCATTGACGACTAAGTTTTTGTCATGCAGGTTATATTTCAAAAATTATCTTTTTAATTCTTTTTAGTAAGATTGAAACAGAGTTTCCAACTCTAAGTTGCTCAAAAATATTTTTTTTATCATAGAATAAAGAGAGAAAAAAAGGGATAGATTATATTGTTATGTTTTTTATTTTAAAAAAATCATCATTAAATAGCTAAGATTTCTCAGTAAACTCATTTGGGACAAACTGCATTCTTAAATATGGTGCGTGAAGATAGCTTTTCCCTATTTTATTCTCTCCTGTATGGCTTGAGTGCAAATGATAATGAAACTACTTGTAGTTAATTAACGAATTATATTTTAGTTTAAGCACTAAAAGGAATGAAAACAGTTGTGATGGATATGATTTGTCAAAGATCAACAATGCCTGGAGCATTTTGCAACATTACTGGCACCATGAATTCTGGGAAAGCAAGCAAATCTTCGAGGATTATTAGAAGGAAAATAAGGCGAGAAAATGCAATCTGAAGGACATCTCCTTCTCAAATACTTGCAAGCTGCACAACGACAAGAAATCATTCTCAAAATCTAAATAAAATCTAATGAAAAGAATTCAAAGATTCTCTAGATCTTTCTTGCTCTTGAAGAAGAAATCCAATTAAGATTTTCATTGTCGTATGTTAAATATAAGATAGCCATCATGTCTAGAGTTAAACTAGCCACAAAGATTTTTCAAACGGCTACATTTTTCGAAATTGAGGTTGAAGAAGGAAAGTTGATGAGAATGGAATTAGATTTTAAATTTTGGAGAGAATTAAGAATGGCGAGAGTGGACTTATGATCAAAGGCTCTGTTTCCTCTTCCATGCATGCTATCGCTTGCCAAGAAGATATAAAAGTCTAGCCATTCCTTTTTTATAAGAAATATAATTATGATTGAGAAGTCTTGGGTTATAGTTCAGGCTGCATAACATATATACTTTTTTTAAGTGAGAAAAAACAAATTGCTCGGTTGAGATAGAAATATTTATATATCTAAAAAATGTGCGTCTCTAGTCGGCCTTCCGTGGGCTTCTGGGAGTGTCTCCTTCATTTTTGCCCGCGATTGGACCAGCCAAGCACCCCCTTTACATGAACATGTAACTGTTGCCAGCCACGGATTATATATATATATATATATATATGTCACGGATTATATATATATATATGTAAGGTATTCAATAACTAGATAAAGGAGTTTAAAAACATTCATACCACACAGAATTCCAACAAGCACACTCGCTTATTCACTAGATATGAAAACAAACACTAGAAAGTAAACAAAGTCTTTGCATAGAAATTGCAACAACAATGGCGAAGTCACAGCCACACAGAATCAAACTAGAAATCCACTCATCTAAAACCAGATTATTTATAATTCTGACTTTGAAAAAAATATTTTTAAATATTTTTTTAAAAAAGAAAAATAGACACGAGAATAAGAGGGAGATTCTAAATATTTTTATTACTTTTAATGAGTTATAGATTTTGAATAATAGGATGTTATTGATTACTATAAGATTTCTCGATACTTGCATGGTTGCTAATCCACTGGGAGGGACTCATTTCCAAATAAAGATTCCAAGAAATCATCATCCCAAACCTGAAATATTCAAAATAAAAACTTATTAGGAGAGCCGTGAAGTTATATATGTGCCTGGATGCATGTTTTCGTATGTGCATGTGTTTATGTTTGTTGTTGTTGTTGTTGACATGCCTGATTCCCTGTTTGTTCATCGTCATCTGGATAAAGGCTACTGGGCTCAGAATCCATGAGGTCACCATTTTCTTTTTGCTGCAAAACATATATATGGATTTAAGTAAAAGGTTAATTGTTGGATATTGTAAATACTATTGAAAGTATTAGAGCAGGGATGTCGGTATGTCGTACACTTGCCTGATTAAAGTTAGGAAAATACCCGTCCATTGAACTGGTATTGCCTCCGAAGAAGGGATTCATAGCTTCTTCTCCACTTTGAACCTACACAAAATAGGAATGATCGATATATATAAGCCTTTCATAAGCATTTATCGTTCTACGTATATCATTAGGACATGTCCATACCTGGCTAGAAGGTTGTTCATTCCAAGGAGTATTGTCATCAATATGAAGTGAGTTAAGGAAGTCTGGATGCAAGAGGTCATGCAAGGGAGTGCTCACTTGATCAACACCTTGTGGCTGCATAAAAAGTAAGAATGAGTTGAAAATTTAATAAAATATTTTGTTGCTAAGAAACAAAGAAGGGATAAAAAACAAAGATCTTCGTATACCTGATAAGCAGTAAAATTGCTGGTAGGCTCCAAAAGCATATCGCTAAAATTTAGTTCACCTTGACCGTATTGTTGCTGCTGATTGTAATTTCCACCGAAGATAGGAGGACTATTGTTCATTAGGCCAAATGCAAAGTCATTTTGCCCTCCATTCCCAAGACCAAGTTGTTGTGGCGGTGGCCGTGGCCTTGGCGGCAGCATAGGAGCATTCCCTTGATAAGCACTAGTGAATAATGTTGGTGAGAATTGGTTTGCACTCTCAATACTAGCAGGAAAAGACCCTCTTTGAGCCAAATAGCTCGATGATGCAGCATTCATGTTGCCATTGTGAGTCCAATTCATCAAGCCACAATTACCAAAACCATTTGATAGCTCATCCTTGCTGACTTGCATTTGGCCTGCTCCAATGAGTTGTCCATCGGTATTCACTCGAATTCCAGCATAATTACTATTGGTATTCGAGGAATTGTTGTTGTTTCCAACATTCCCGACTCTTGACCTGTAGTTGGTAGCTTGAACTCCAATGGAACCAAATTTGTTATGTTCTGAGCTATCAAAACTCTGAAGATTTGATCTTCCTTGATTTTGTGGTTGGTATCTTTGCGTTGGGCTTTTGCCGCGGGTGAGGCCAATAGGGACACTTTCACGAGAGGGAGGGATTGTTCCTGTATTATTATTCGATTCCAAACCTGATCTTTTTTTATTGGCTTGATTGGCATTGCCAAATGTTAGCTGCTGAAACCCTGTTGGATTGCCACATGAACGAGACTGCTTGTATGGTGATTGAAGTGCGGAGTTGTTTGGAGCTTGCTTTTTTGGAGAGTGCAAGCTCCCAAAATTGGAACCACCATCAGGAGTTGGAATGGTATTCCCTCCAAAACCTGCTTGAACAGATGCTCTTAATACTTGTCGCTGTCTTGAAAATTGTGAATACTCTTGCTGGAAATTTTTGAGCATCAATGAGGGTTGGCTAGATGCAAAGTTTGACTTAAGAACCCGTCCTGACAAGTTCTTTGATGAACTGGTACCTCTTTCTGCAACCTTTTTTAGGAAGATACGATACTTCTGCGGAATGTGAGTATATTGCGTCAATGAACAAATTATTGCCATTGCATAAAATTATAATTAATTGATGATGATGTTGGTTCAATTTCGATTTATATATAGCTGATCATTCAAGAGGTATATATTGTTTAATCCTCGACGCTTACGCGATGTGACGTTTTAATTAACTAATTAATCAAGAAGTAAAACACTAGTAGAAAATTGAAAAACAACAACGAAATCGCCGGTGACAAACATTTCATCCCTAATTTCCAATAAAAATTGAGATGAAGAATTTTCATCAATAGTTTTTTACAGAAACAATGATGCTGCTTCATCAGTAATTACTAATAAAATTATCAATAAAATAAAAATAAATTAAAATTTTATTGATGATTTTAATTTTACGACAGACTCATCAAAAAATAAAAAAGAAGCAATAAAAAAAAGTTTAGAAACATTGTACAAACCTTGATTTTAATTTTTTTTTTATATATTTTGGATCGTTTTGATATGTTGATTTTAAAAATATTTTTTAAAAAATAAAAAAATTATTTTAATGCATTTCAGCATAATTTTTTTTTTAAAAAAAAACAACCACAACTATACTCCTAAATAAACACTAATAAATAGAGTAAGAAGTTTTAGAGTTGAAATAATATTTAGATTGTACCGATAAAATAAACGATGAAATATCTCATCAATAATTTAATTATTAATATAATGCCAACAAAATTTAAAAGCTGCATTTTATTTCTTTGGTGCTAATATTTTATCAATTTTTCCATTGATAACTTATAATGTTGACAGATAATAAACCCTTGAAAAAAAAAAATTAGTAATGTGTAGCAATGTGGTATTTACTTACCAATAGAATATCACATTGGTATTTTTCAATTTTCTAATGATAATGAATGGTATCCTAATTACAACATATATTGTACTTAGAAGTCTTATAGCTTAGTTAAATTAAAAAAACATTTCATCCCTAATTTCCGATAAAAATTGCGATGAAGAATTTTCATCAATAATTTTTTAGCTTCATCAGTAATTATTAATAAAATTATGGATAAAATAAAAAATAAAATAAAAATTAATTAAAAATCTGTTGACAATTTTAATTTTGCAACAGACTCATTAAAGAATAAGAAAAAGCCATAAAAAAAGTTTGAAAAAGCGGTACAAATTGTGATGTTAAAAAATTTATTTTTTTATGAAATATTATTTTTTATATGTTTTAGATCATTTTGATATACTAATTTTAAAAATATTTTTTAAAAATAAAAAAATTATTTTAATACATGCATAAAAAATTCTCATCAATAATTTAATTACTAATATAAGGCCAATAAAATTTAAAATCTATATTTTATTTTTTTGGTACTAATATTTTATCGATTTTTTCATTGATAAGTTATAATGTTGATAAATAATAAATCCCTGAAAAAAAAAATTAGTGATGTGTAGCAATGTGGTATTTACTTACCAATAGAATATCACATTGGTATTTTTCAATTTTCTAATGATAATGAACCGTATCCTAATTACAACATATATTGTACACAACTAGAATCTTAAATAAAATGACTAATATATAATTTAGAAGTCTTATAGCTTAGTTAAATTAATGGAGAAGCATGATTAAGGGTAAAACATGCAAAAATAGTACTCTAGATAAATACAAACCTGTAAGTGGCTGGCAACATTTTCTCTTGACAGCCCTGGCACGCTCATGAATTCAAGAATTCTTTTTGGAACAGCCTCTAAATAATTTTGAACATAGAAAGATCACCATCAAAAATCAATTTGGTAAGTAAAAAAAAAAAAAGGGGGGGGGCTTCAAGAAGATTTTGCTTACTGTCTAGCCCTATGTGGTTTATAGCTTGCAAAAACCGACTGTGAAGTGAACTTGTCCAGAGCACCTTAGGCCTTTTTGGGGCAAGCTGGCTATCTACTTCTTGATCTTCCTTTGTCCTCTTCCTGTTTTTATTTTTTCTATCTTTTTCATTGCATATTTTGTTATTGGTAGATTTTGCAGAATTCACTTCGTCAACAGATATTTTCTGATCAAATAATGTCGAAGACGATGATTCTTGACTGCCTCCTATTTCCTTTATTGAAAGGGAGCACTTACCTCTTTTAGTTGCAACTGCATATTGCCATACATTCTTGAGATCATCCTTGTTAATTGGTTTCACTATATAAAACGCAGCACCACCTTCTAAAGCTCTTAATATGACCTTTTCACTATCATCTGATGACATTACTGCAATAGAAGAAATTAAAAAAGCATCGATAAAAAAGAATATAGAAAACCTAGTGTCAAGATCCATAAAGTAAAGGAAACTCTATTTGAAAAGTGAGGAACTTTGCACTAAACAATTTGTGATTTATATGGTAACTAATGAGATGCAGGATGTTGTAAAAACCATACTTATAAGACTCAGCTCGGGATCTGAACTGGCCTCCAAAGCACCAATCATGATTTATTAGGTGAACTTTGATATCAAGTCAGCCTGAATTTATTTTAAAATGTCATCTCAATTCAAAAAAATATAATGACATTATTTTCTATAAGAATTAAAAAAAATCTTTAAAATTAAGCTGTAGCTAGATTTTATCTAGATTTAATTGAATCGATTAAATCATAAATTGATCCTTCAAATAATTCAAGTTTGATGAAGTTAATTTTAAAAATGGTATAAAAAATAACTTGGATCAAACTTAGAGTCATCAAATCAACTTACAATGCTAGGCTATGTTTGATAACTATTGTCAAAACACAATAATAAAAATAAAAGAATGAAAGAGAAAAGATATGTAGTTCAAATCATAATTATAAAACTTAATCCAAATAAAGCTCGAATCATAGATCAAAAAGGTCAGTTCAGATTGACCCTAAAAAACTTTTTTAAAAAAAATCAAAATGATGTCGTTGTGATTTTAAAAAAAAATTAATAGGTTAAAGATTGTGTTTTGACTAGATTTAACTTTGAGTTGATTTAGATAATATCTTAATATATTTTTCTTTTAATTTAGACTAGTTTAAATTTTAAATAAATATGTTAACACGTCAAGGTTTTATAATTATGGTTTAAATTCTTCATTGTTTGTTCTCATTGATACACTTTTATGAACAAAGTCTCAATCTTTTTAAACAATATTTTATATTATTACATTACAAATCTAACATTAATCCAAGTCAGGGTTAATGTCTATATATATATATTTTTTGGTGAGGTGGGGTGGGGGGGGGTAAAAATGCACTTACTAATCACAGGAAGCTTGAATTCTTCATCCACTTGGTGTTGTAGCTCCATGCCATTCATCTCAGGCATATGGAGGTCGGTGACAACCAAGTCAAATACACCCTTTTTCAGTCGAAGAGTTGATAGAGCATCAAATGGGTTCTTAACTGAGACAACGGTAAGTTCTAGCTTGCGATTTTCTGTCAATAAACAAGACAACATCATAAGAATAATTATAAATGATACTAGAAATGCTAAAGGTTTAAGAAAATAAAAAATTAAGGCTTGCATGCATTGAAAGAGATCAAATTATTTTAAGGGATAATTAAAGAGTTTAGTTTCATGCTTCAATTTAGAAGACAGGGGAAAGAAAAGGTTGAGTTTTTATTAAAAAAAATTATTATAAAACAAGGAAATCATGATTATTGACCTTATTTATTTATTTGGTGGGGGGGGGGGGATTAAGAAGGTTAAGGGTAAATTTTCACTTGTAGGATCTACAAAACAAGAGTAGAATGAGTATGACAACCATAACTACATATGTACTGTTTGAAATTTAATGGCCAAAAAACGATACATGCAAAGACAAATCGTCCAATTAGTAACATTTGTAGAAGTGTTGAATTTCATTAAAAATAATTTTGTAAGTGTTGAAAATATAAAATTAATTAATAATACAAGTATGAGAAAAATAAACAATAGAAGTATGAGATTTAACAGAAAACATGAGGAAATAATACAAGGGTAATAATAAAGAGTAAATAAATAAATAAAAATCAATGTCTTAGCTTCATTGAGTAGAAAAGGAAAGATCCATTACGAACAGAGGAGAAACATCGATTAAAAAAATTGACTATAAGAACTATGAATTTTGATTTGTTAATGATATAGAAAAAAAGATATAGATATTGGATCAAAAGATGACTTAAATGGAAAAGGATCCTTTGTATTGTAGAAGTTAAAAAAAAAATGCATATAAAGCCTTATTATATGATGATGGACATATGATATTAGCAAAAAAAAGAAGAAGAGAGATTTAATTCATTTAAAAAATAATAAATAAATAAATGAGATTGAGAAAAAAATAGGAGAAAATTAATTTAAGAACATTAAAAAAAACCTTAAATACAAAGGAAAAAAGTTGAATCCTTTGTTTATGTATTTACTGGGATAGAGAAAAACTTTATTGCTAAATTATAGATGACAATGGCATAAACTTCTTGGATTTAGTGAAGGAACCATTGATAGAGACCATAAGAACATTAATCCATAGAACGTGATTTTAGAAAGACTTGCTAAGCAATAAGATCTCCATCATATACCTTTGTAACTACATGTTTTCAGCATTGCTGAAACAATTGAAAGAGATGTAGAATCATCATCTACAACTAAGATTTTGATTTTTAAGAGGGGGGAATTTTGGATAATACTGGAAGATTGACTGGATGCCATTCTTTCACAAGCTATGCTGTGAATAAATCCAGGCCTGAGTGGGGGATTTTATAGCAGAGAGGAGCAAGTGCTTGCCTAAGGCATATATATAGTGGGGCGATTCTACAGAAAATCAATTTTTTTTCTCTTCAAATTTCATTCAATTTTAACTATATTTTTTAAAAAGACAAAAGAAGAAGTAGTTTTGATAGAGTGTAAAGATAAAGGGATGCATTAGCCCACTGAATTGAACCTAATTAATGTGAGAAATCTAGTGTAAAGAGAACATTTAATGCAATTTACCAAAAATAATATATTCTTATAAAAGAGTTCTTTCTCTAGAAGATCTCACAATCTTTCATTTATATTCTTCTTTTTTGGGTTTTTATTCCTATGTAAGGATTATGACAATATAAAAATTTCTAATTTCTTTTAATAATTTAATTAATTATCATTTTTTAATAATGAAAATAATTATAATTAGGACTAATTAGTTGCTAAGATTGAGAAATCAACCGGACTCAGTTATGGTGCCACCGACTTTTCTCAACCGTGTTCATTTGGAAATATAATTTTATGTTGTATAATAAGATATGCTTACATTTCATTTTAACCATTTTTAAAAATAACTACAGTAAATTCATGCTAAAATTGTAAAAGTTCACGCAAGATTCATAATTGTTTACATCGAATCATAATAAGTCAATTGAATGATTAACTCTCAATTCTATATAAATTTCTTATTCAAAAATCTTGCCTCGCCACTTGAATTATTGCATTCTAATTTAGAACACTTGAAGAACCATCATTACATGCAAAATTTCAAAATTAATTATACTATATATTTGTTAATAACAGGGTTGCATACTTAAACAATAAAATTACTTCAATAATAATAATAAGATTCTATATAAAATTTAAACAATAACAACTTATATCATTCAAACAAAAGATATAAATTGTTATTGAAAAGGGTGTTCACAATTAATACTAATTCGAACTTTATTACCAAACAATTATCTCCAATGTATTTTATCTCACTAAGAGATTTATTACTATCTATAATAAAATTAGATTCTTAAATAAATAATTGAAAAAAAATTCATAATTAAGTCCCAAAAAAAAAAAACAAAAACAAAATCGGAGCCATAGACGCTGTTGTCCTGAACTTAGCTCATATAAACAAGCTAGTCTGCTAGCCTTTATGCCGGATCAGTAATGAGAAAACCACAGCCGAATGTTTAGAATTATCAAACTCACCTATATTAAGGAGACAATCCATGGGCTTTAGGAGGACGGATTTGTTGGCCTAATTAAGCTCAAGCTTATATCTATTTGTTTTAGACGAGTTAAAATTAATAATTGAATGAGTTGGTCCATATGGAACTCAACAATATTGTATCCATCCATATATATTAGAAACAGATTGATTATTGATTAGATCTCAAGTTAACTATATGAATATATTGATGTGTTAAATATAATGATTTCATTATTATAAATACAATTATTTTATTAACATCAAAATAATTTCTATAAATATAAGCTACAAAACGCAATCTTCTCATTATACTAAAATGATTATTTTTTTTATTTTTAAAGATTTTTTTTATGTATTTATTTAGAGGTTCTATGTGAACTTTACCCAACTTTCTCATGGTGGTTCTCTATTTTGGCCTTTTCTTATTTGATTTTACCTCCATTTTATGATTTTTAAACAATTAGATTAATGATAATTATTATAAACTTATAAATTCTTTATTCATAATAATTATAAACTAAAGAGTCATGATCTAAAGCTTCAATCCTGGGTTCTTGAAATCAAGAAATCATACCCCATTTTATCTAATTAGAATTCTCCCCATCAAAATTAATTTTTTAAGCATGAAGTCTTCCAATCAAAATCAAATTAATTCAGTATTAAAAAAATTTGAACATCTTATATTAAAAGGAGTTATATGAATAATCGAATTGCATAATTAATAAGGATAATCCTATATTAAAAGGAGTTATTTGAATAGTCGAATTGCATAATTAATAAGGATAATCCCTATAAGCCATAACAATCCCTTTATTTGTTCATACAATCGCCACAGCAGAATACCACTGACAGGATCTCTAACAAGACCAGCAACAAAGACATTAGACCCATCACCACCTGAGCTCCTTCTTGCGAGGTCTTGAAACCGCCGGTTTCTCTGATCTTATATTAATGCATATATTACACCATTGGTTTGTCCTTTTCCTATCACCCCCACCTCTCTTTCGCTGATGTTCACAGCTTTGCTCCGTTTTAGAGACCATGCAAGATCTTAAACAAACACCGAAATATCACTGGTAAGAAGGCTAAAATCATGATGGCTGCAATGGAAATTCAGAAATAACGTTTTCTCGTATATATGTTATGCATGAAATTGAAGCCTGATATCAGGAACTTCTGGGTTGTTTTCGGATGAAAAATGCTTTCAGTGTCTCGTTCGTGCATAAGAGGCTGCAGGGGTGATGGATATGAAAAACTGGGCTACTAGCTCGTAGAGCTGAAAGGTTCCATCATCTCTGCTTGATATGCCTGCAATGAAGAATAGAAACAGGAAAGTGATACTGTGGGTGATAATTTGTATGGAAGTGATTACGTTTTCGGAATGAGGCGAGGCTTGGATTTCACAGACACATTACATTTTGAACAATGGGAGGGGGAGGCAATATTAGCTACTCTAAGAAAGGAGAAAATTATCAAGGAAATTGGAAATGTAATGGCATACTGCTGCAAATGCCTGAAAGCCAGGCTTCAGGCTCCTGGTTATTGGGCAACAAGAACAGGCGCTACCCTAGAGGCAGAACCCAATTCAAGAAACTCTTGTGGTAGATCATTTAGATTTCAATTGCTCATGTATCATAAGAACACAATCTGAACAGGAATTTCAGCATATATGGGGAAGTATAGACTGATCTTAGTAAGAGAAATATCCTCGAAATTGTTCTTAGATATATGAGATGATGAGGTAATTCTGCGAACAACTGCAGTCACTAAACTGATCTTCTCATTCCATTTTAGAGAATTCCAAGCCCATTCAAGCTGCGATAACGAAAAAACAAAATAAAGAAAAAAACAATTTGTTTGTCTATATAACACATTACATACAAGCTGATGTTCCTTTAAACAAAGGCCACAAGGATCAATCTCTCAAATCGAAATGTGCATACGGTTAATTCAACTGGCCTGTCCCCCAAGACTATTTGAGCACCGATTTCATCAGCCACTTTTCGAGCAGCGCGAAACTGCAATTCTTAAGGAACTTCAAAATTTGAGATTCAACAGATTTCCAGTGTTCTGCAAGTAGTCAATCGACTACCTCATTGCCGAAAGGCCGGTTGACATGAGAAGAGATTTCTAATGAGAAAAGGGTTAAATGTAGACACAATGCTAAAGCTGTTTGGCCTCCTGAAATGGACATAACATTAAGTAATTTAACTTCACAAGCAAACAATATAAACCAAACAATTTCTTAGCTCTTACCCAAGACTATGCTACAGCTGAAAGCTCTGAAAAACCCAGTTCCACTCAGAGAGCACACCTGATCTTCATTGCTTGCTAACCTCACCTTCATTGGAAGCATACATGATTCCAGTTCTGCAAGTGGATTCTGAAATAAGTAAAGTTACAATGTTAATTGAGGACAAATTAACCCATCAAAAACATTGCTATCAAAATATCGAAAGAAAAAAGGAAAGAAAAACTTTCCAGCTTCTACATAGCTCAGCTACTACATTATCAGGCTTAATACCCAGCAACCATATTCCTTCTGGCTCAACAAACACAGTCCTCCAGGCAAGTACAGGACCAAAACGTTTCTTCTCAATCAACACTAAGGTGCCTTCATTAGCCAAGTCAAGCAATTCCGGTGTAGGTTCTTGCAATTGTTGCTCTAGATTCTTGCAAAATCTCTTACCTGAAATCAAAGTCTGTTGGTTGAGGTTCGATTGAAACTTCCAAGGGTTTGGTGGGTTTCGTTGCGAGGATATTTGGGTTCTTAGAGAGGTTAGGGAATGGAAATTCTAGCAGAGTTTCCATGGATGCGGACCTGTTCCGAATTAAAAAAAAAATACAAATAATAGTTAATTCGTTTAAATTTAATTAGATTTGGTTGACTAGTTAAAATTTGGTTTGTTTTATTTTAAAGTTTAAAAATAAAATGATATCATTTTGAATTCATGAATTAACCTGTATAATCAATTACCCGGGCTTAGACCAGGCTTTGTTTTCAATAACTTTGGATTTGAGTTTTCATGGATTTAAAATATGGTTTGTTGAGATTCTATTTACGCTCGAACTCAAATTGGTTTTCAAATTATCCCAAATTTAATCATATACAAACTCTTGGTACTAAAAGTTTGGATTTTAATTTCTTGGGGACCCAATTTGTTGGTTCTGACTAGGCATTCTGATTTGACCAGATAGTGCATCCTCAATTAAACGGCCTTGATATGAAAAAAGCCGTCTTTGGCAACTTTGAGATTAAGAAAATAATATATATATATATATATATATATATAGCAGACCAGCACCAGAAAGAACTTTGCTTTATAAAAGTAGTATAAATAATAATAATAATAATAATAATAATAATAATAATAAATGTTGAGAAAATCTCTATAGTTTGACTTCATTTCAAGAATTTTCTAAAAAAAGAACGAACTTAGCTCAAATCCTAATCTAGTCGGCATGACCACTCCCTTTTTGGGTTAACCGTCTACACCTAATTTTATCTCCTTTTCAATTGTCATCCCCCTATTTTTAACTATGTGCTAATGTGGTCCTTGCAACAAATGCTCAAGAAATTTGTGCTGGATCATACCTCATTTGCTTTATTAACAAAATTTTCAATGTTCTTTGGTTTTTTTTCTTTTTTCCATAAATCATATAATAGAAGGTACCATCAAATTAATTTGCATATTAATTGAGACAAAGTCTTTTTTGGACAACCTTAAATAAATTCCTCTTTGACACTGGCTGGCTCTGGTGTTTAAATCTAGGAGGTAAAAGAAGAGGGTATACCTCTTTAACCACGAAGTCAATCCTCTGAAATCACAAAAATAAAGAGTTGAGAGATAATATTAGAGAGAGAAATAGTTAAAGGATCCAATAAAAACAAAATAGAGAGTTGGGGGACCAGATACACCACTAACCTCTCATCTTCATGTTTAAATAAACCTCTTTTAGACGAGCATCTTTCCAAGGATGTTCTGTGGCTGGGCCACATCACTAGAGGAGCAGTAGAATGATTTTAGAACTTCCCCTTCATCTTATCTTCTGTTGGCTGTCCTAACTTTTTGAGACATTGTAGTGTAATTTGTGTACATTTTCTTCCATCCACGAGACCTCTTCAAGCCTAGCTTGTTCACATTATCAGGGGATTTAGATTCCTTTTGTTTTTATTTCTGTGATGAGATGTGGTACGATTTTCATTTTATTATTATTATTATAAATTTAAAATATTTATTAATCAGTACATACCATAATAATTTTACTCTCTTAGAATCTTAATTATGAAAAAGCTATTATTTATATTTTTAAAATATTTTTTTTTCAAATGACAATCACAAAACTATTATAGTGCCAAAAAAACACTAAATTATGGTGAGGAAAGGCCTTAAGACGATGACTTCTTTACATTTTCTGGGAATGAAAAAACATTTTTATTTGTTTTTTTAATTTTTGATGGGTCACCAAATTAACTACTATGAAGAAAGAGTCATCAAATAAACCACCACTACCGCCATAAATCACAGGGTGATTATATGTAGATGTACACTGTGGTCCATATCAGTACTAAGGACAAACGATCAATAAAGAATCTAGGTCCTACTGGTTTCAAAATCACAGCGATTTTAAATAGTTCTGCCACAGGACTGGGACATCATGCCTACCAAGAAAATAAATGAAAACACAGGGCTAGGGCTTAGTGAGCCGATGTGGGGTGGTTCTTCTTAGGATGTGTCTAGGTCGATGAAGACCAGGCAAGTCCCAGCTAACCAGCTACAGAACACAAATAGCTTTGCCAAGTTTTTGCGCAAGAGACGAAATATAATGATTAATTATCGAAATTACAACACAAGTTTTTTTTTTTTTTTTTTTGGTCTTAGAGAGGCCCGCGAATCCCCCACGCTTTAGTTTAGCCCATTGTTTCATCTATACTTGTATAGTAAGCTCCCGTCAAACTTATAAACAAAAATCTCTTTCATTCTCTTATATGTCAAGAACCTTAGTGCCATTTTTCCATATAGACACATCCCTTTCATTATATATATGGCCAATCCCAAGCCCCAAGCTGACCAATTACCACCACTGCACTCTCCAATCCTGATCCCGTCTCCGAACAGATCTTCAGGTCAGCCCTTTAGTTCAAGGCATGATGAACATTCACCGAGGCTTATTCGATTGCCCATTGGGATTTCGAGTCAGCCCATGAGTGGAAGGCATGGTGACCAATCACCAAGGCGCCCTATTAGATCACTGGGTGGTTCATCGGCTCAGCCCGCAAGCGGAAGACACCCGAGTTTTAAAGGTGTTAGGTTACGGAGTGGGAAATGGGTATCCGAGATCCGGGAACCACGTAAAACTACGCGTGTATGGCTCGGTACATATCCAACTCCTGAGATGGCAGCCACCGCCTATGATGTGGCTGCTCTAGCACTTAAAGGCACCAACACACCACTGAATTTCCCGGAATCAATCCTTTCCTATCCAATCCCAGCCTCAGCATCCCCTAGTGATATAAGAGCTGCAGCTGCTAGTGCAGCATCAGCCAGGTCACCCAAGCTTGAAAGTGGGCCAAACCCTGAAATGGGCCAGCCTGAAACAGAAAGCTCGTCATCTATTATCACTACTGATGTTCAATCAGGACAGGAAATTTTCGACGAGGAAGAATTTTTAAACATGCCCAATTTGCTCGTTGACATGGCAGGAGGAATGCTAGTAAGCCCACCAAGAATAAACACGCTATCTTCTGATGATTCACCAGGGAGTTCCGATGCTGAAAGCCTATGGTCCTACCCCTAAAGCAGACCCAACAAGCCTCATTTCTCCATGGAGAACTTGCTTCTTGGTTTTGGTCAAAGGGAGAGGTTCTGGTCCCATGATGTAACAAAAGGTTGGCTTTTATTAAAGATTTTTCTATGGGGTAATGGGCAATGGAGTGTTGTGTAGATAAAGGTAAAACTGGTAGGTGAATCGATTTTGCTGCCATATTTGTCAGTTGTATATATTTAAATGTGTCAGCTAGAGCCAGAGTACGTCTCTCCTTCCATCTGAATGTTTTTCTGATAGACTTTTGAGAGAGACTTCCCTTGTAGTTTCCTCCGACGATTATATATATTTTGTCCCTCTCTTGATACAGTATATGATATTTTATGGTACGGGAAGCCTCTCCTCCTGCCATGTTTTTGGGCACCTGTTCCTCTCTCTCTCTCTCTAGTCTATACCCTTTGGTTTGCATTCCACAAAGCATGCCTAACAGCTCTACTATTGAGATTAGTCTATACCCTTTGGCTTGCATTTCACGAAGCATGCCTAGCAGTGCTAATATTGAGATTGATTTTGAGTGAGGTTGTAATTGTTTTTTAAATTAATTTTTATTAAAATAATATATTTTTTATTTTTTTAAAATTATTTTTATATTAGTTTATTAAAATGATCTAAAAATATTAATTTAAAATAACAAATAAAAATATTTAAATACTTTTTAAAATACTTTGAGAGGCAAATATGTATTATAACCAAACAAATGGGAGATAGTGAAGGTATTAGAAGAATGGGGGGCAAAAGAAAACATCGTCAATGTTGTTGCAATAGAGTGAAAAATACACGTTAAACCTACTCTATACTTTTTGCTTTTTATAGCCCTACCCATAGTTGTAAAATGTAACCTAGAGCAAGCCCGGGTCAGGACCCGGGTTTAACAAAAAAAAGAAGAAGAAGAAGATATTCTTAAAGAACCAAAATGACTAATAAAAAAATTGAAAAAATAATAGATTAATTCAGGTCTAAGTTAACTGAATTAGCAGTCAACCAGAGCATTTGACGAGATGAACCGAGTTTTTTATTTTTATATTTCTTTTTGTCAATTAGCTCCTGAGTCACTGGGCCTACCCGCAGCTATGCCCTACCCTCCTTCTCCAATTCTATGTAGTTCAAGAGGTAATAATTTTGAATTTATATTTCTAACAGGGAGGTGTGTGTGAAAAGAAAAATTAAAATTAAAAGTTCATGTCTGGAGGACCCACATGACTAAAGGTGCAAGATATTTATATTAATCAATGATTAAAGCATTCTGGCTTGACAGTCAAGGTCTCTGACCTGAACATTAGCAAATCATGACGAAAGAATGTATTTGTGGAAAGTCCATATGGATCTGCGGTTTATTTATTTGATTCACCTGCACGACCTTTTACTAGCTGCTTCGCATGTTTGAGATATTTTATGTCTTTAAGTGCTTTTTTAAATTATTTCTGGTTTAGAAAAATAATAAATTAATTTTTTATGTAATCTTAATGAATTAATGTTAAAAATATTTTAAAAAAATTTTGAGTGAATTTATTTTGAAAAGTATCTCATCCTATAATCTCAAACATCTTTTTTTCGCCCGCCGGTTATGGTATTGAAGGCAATTAAAAAAACAACTAAATGCATGCGGTTAATTTAATTGTTCATAGTGAACTATGTTAATGTATTTATTGAATCATTTAATAACATTTTTGTTCTGTAACTTAATGAGTTAATGCGTCTCTCTAGTTAGCCAAAGGTTACGGGTTATAGCTATACTTGGAACAATATTATATTTTATGCGACAACAAACCTGTCATTTGTATTTTTTTTTATTAAAAAAACCCTAATAAAAAGAAAAAATATTGGCCGAGATGAGAATGGTTGTCTTACGCCCATGCTCTAGGGCTTTGTTATACCAAGACTAGTTGTGCTTCATCATCGAAGCCCATGTATTTGGGATCTTTTTTTATTAGTTCTGTAGGTTTTTTT